AGAAGCGCGCCAGAGGGCAGAAGCCAGGCAGAGAGCCGAAGTTGAGCAGCAGGCACTGGAGAAGAGTCGCGCCGAACAGGAGGCGCGCGTGCAGCAGGAAACGGAGCGTCGCAATGCGGAGCGGCGCGCTGCTGGCGTTGCCGCTGGCCAAGGCATGACTGCCGATGGCCAGCACCCCATCAACCCTTCACACATGGGCCATACCGCCCTGGACCCGTCACATCCTCCGCGAGCTGCCGTCGCGCCCAACCAGGCCCTACCGTCCCAGCAGCGCCCGCCGCAGATGGCTGGCAATCAGCAGCAACACCACACCCCTCCTCAGGCGTTCCCGGCCGGAAACCCAGCGGCGCAACAGCACGGAGACGCGGCTGTCGACCCGACCAAGCCGCGCAACTCGTTTCCCCACGCGTTTGAGCGGTGGGAGACGCTATCTGCCCACTGGGAGGGACTGACGAGCTACTGGATCCGCAAGCTCGAGCAGAACAAGGATGACATTAACCGCGACCCCCTGAGCCAGCAGCTGGCGCGGCAGGTTACGGACCTGTCCGCCGCTGGCGCCAACCTCTTCCACGCCGTCGTCGAGCTGCAACGTCTGCGCGCCAGCTCCGAGAGGAAGTTTCAGCGGTGGTTCTTCGAGACCCGGTCCGAGCTGGAGCGTGCCCATGAGGTGAATGCCATGCTGGAGGCGGCACTCGATAAGGAGAGGAGGGAGCGCGAGCAAGCCATTCGCGAAGCCATCGACCACGAGCGCGGCGTATCCAAGACGCAAAAGCAGCTCGCCGAGATGAGAAAGGAGCTCGCCATTTCCAAGGAGGAAGCGCGCCGGGCATGGGAGGAGCTCGGGCGGCGCGAGCAGGAGGAGCGCGACAGGACCCTGTCGCTCCAGTCAGGCCATCCCACTGTCGTGGGCGGAGTCCAGGTGGTGCCCATGACCCAGGGCGGCGGCCCCAGCCGACACAGCAGCACCAGGGAGCACGGAGGCTACCAGTCCGATTACCAGCGGCCGGCGTATTCCATCGAGCAGGCCGCCCAGGGCCGTGGACAGACCACCGCGGGAAGCAGCAGCTCCGGACAGGGACAATACCAATCTGGCCACCAGGAAGATCCGAGCCGACGCGCAGGCGCTGGCTCCGAGGGCGGTTACAGCGAAGGTGAGTACCTTATCGATGCGCAGGGGAACTTCATCCTCGACGGGGACGGCCGCAAGATCCCCTTCGCTGCACCGCCCTCCACGTACACAGGTTCTGATTTGGATCCAGAAGACTACGACACCCCGGCCACGACAAA